TGTCCGACCAGCTGCTCGACCGGAGACCGGACCGAGCTGCGCCAAGCCGAGGCATTTTGGAGTCCACGATGCCGGTGAAGTTGCCGAAGTTCTACTTTGGCGACATCAGCCGCCGGTTTGCGGAAGAAAGCGAAGTGGACGAAGTGGACGGTTTTGTGAAGTGGGTGGGTTTTCTGGTTTGAAGGGGGGGGGTGATGTTGGCTTTTGGGGGGCAAAAACCGTTCTGAGATTGCGGGGATGCAGAGCTGAGATCAAGGAGTTGGAGCTTCAACCGACTGGATTGCCTAAGATAGCAATCCACCTGGTGGAACCTTCGCACGTAGTAAGAACCAGGTTTTAGCCTAGCTGGGTCTTGGTAGCCTTCGAGCGTTCCAGAACCATACCTTCCTGCCTGCAGTGCTGTGCCATCGTCCAGGCGCGCTGTCCAGGCCCTGGGCCATGGGACCTGCAACGGCGGTTCACCCTCTTCAGAAGGTGACTTGTTGAGCTCTCCAGGACTAGGTGGTTCATCATGTTCCCAGGACTTCGAATCCTTTTGGAGATCGGAGATCGGGAGCTGCTCAGTGCATGGATTGTTTCCCTCTTGTCCATGTTGGATGACCGCTGCATGGTTGGATGAGGGCTGCAGCGGGACAGGCTCATTCGCAAACGCTGTGGCCGAGCGGCATGGGGCCTGGAAGCTGATCTGGGCAAAACTGGTGGAGCGCCATCGCAGAAGCTGAACGTGCGATGAAGCAGCGCCAGCCGCGCCGTCGATGCCAAGAACGCCCTCAGGAACAAGTCTTCAGCCCTGAGTGGGTCTTTGGCACCAACGGGTGGAAGCCGACATGGGGGAGAACTTCGACCCCTTTTTCATGCCTCCATCGGCCAAGAAACCAAGTTTGCTAGAAGCCAAATCCAGCGTGACTGGCTTGGCTTTCAGGAATCGGACGTCTCGTCTTGAGCGATTTCGCTGCGTGACTTGGCATCGTGCTCAAACGCTGCGAATCGACTTGGCTGTACGATGTGAATCTTGTGCAGATTTTGTGGCCGCAGCACTGGCAGTGGACCTTGAACTGCAGATGTTGTGGCCATGGTGTACCTTGACATGTGGCAGTGGCTGTACTTTAATTGGGGATGTAGTATTTTGTTGAAGTGTAGATTTCGTGTGAGGCGCGTGACATATGCGTGCTCTCGTTGTGCTATGCGTGCTTGTCGACATCTCCACCTCTATGGACTTGACTCAACCTCAAATGTCTACTACAAAATCAAGGATTCGGATTTGATACTCAAATCTTCATGCATGTTCATGCAGTTGGGGCTGAATGAGAAGAACTTGGAGAACACTGGACTTCAATCTGTTCACTTTTGATCACCTTCAAATGCCCTCAAACATCCTAAAACTATCCGACTCGGGTGATGGAAGACTCGCGTGAATCTTTCCGGCTTGGGATCGTGTTTTTTGGTGAACATGTCACAAGCTTTTTGATGAAGGATTTTGAGGGATCAATTCATGGGATGTTGTGTCTTTTCAACTAACACAGTCACACAGTCAATTGAACATGAAGAGGAAATCCATTCCATGTGAGAAGGTTTTTTTTGGCTGAACGATCCACGGGCTTTGTGGTTCAACTGCATTCCTGGCAACGCTCATAATATACAGTGCACTTAGTTCAACATGATTGGGTGATTTTTTTGGGGAACAAATTCGTTCGGAACACCTGGTAACATGGGACGACGAAGGTCCGGTCGCATCCCCTTTCTGCTCGCATCCGACATCGACTTCAGGCAACGAGTCCTCCAATTTCATCCTCATCACTGAGCGCGTGCAGTTCGCTGGCATGCCACCCTTGCCACCGATGATGATTGAAGGTCCCTACGAGATGCTTGGAGAAACAACAAAAACATTTGGAGAGTTTGAGGGACATGTTTGAGGGGAAACCCCGTTAGCTACTGTTTGCAATGGCACCTGTAGTTGGTTGATAGACTTCCCCCCTGCGATGGCATGTTAATACCCAGAACCCCCAATCGGCCCACCATCCACCACTGCCAAAGTGGTAGAATGAGTCCGATTTGGACTGTCAGGGATAGTAAAAAGCATCCTGAATGGGTGGTGCCGTATTTGGTTCTGAAGATGTAGGAACCTCCAGGGCCCTCTCCGTGAACTCAAAAATTCGAGGTTCCCAGGCCTGAAGCCCGTGGCCCGAGATCAGATCCCAGCAAGTGGTTCTATATAACCTCCATTGACTCCCAACATCAACCAACTTGACTACTCTGGGTTTCAGAGTCCAGATGTTGTCTTCCAAGCTCCCAATCCTTGGGCGCTAAGGAAATGCAAAGACTTTGACGCTTCGCAGAGACCGACCCCACTGCTCGCGACCCCGCAGGGTGCGCAAGCGCGCAAGCGTTGAAGATGGTGGACCCCAGCAAGGCATGTGTGGGTCATTCCAAGGCGAGAATGGTCATTCCAAGGCCAAGGCGAGAATATGGCGGTTTCTCTTTTTGTAGACTTGGCCCAATAGGTAGTATTGGTGGTAGACTTGAGTCCACGGAAGTGAATCTTGTAGAAATGTTGGTCATTGTTTCTGTAGTTACCTAGGGGACAACCATAGTAACCAGATATACATTATCGTATAATATCGAATATAATCTGATGCAAATGGTCTTCAGGGGTTCCTGACCAATCCTGGATTCCTTTGGCTATCGTGGAGTCATGGGCCATGGTCCATGGTCAAACAATTTATATAACTTTGACATGTATTTTCCCAGTAGGAGCAATGAATCGCTCCAATCCGGTGTCCTTCTTTTGACTCATAGATTTTGCCTCTACATGTGAGGGAGGGGAAGATCATGTTATAGCCGACAACACGGTCCGACTTCGGCCCAGGGTGAACATCGTAGCGGACGGTGATGGACAGTGGCAGATGCTGAAACCGCCCAAAGAAAGGCATCCTTCACCAAAGCCAGGTGGCTCCTAGAAGGCACCAAGGCTTACCTTCCTTCGCTTGTCTTGCGATGAAAGACTGCCTTGCCTCTCCGAAATTGTGATCCATGTAGCTTTCAATGGCATGTGGGGAAGCAAACACTTCCAGTCAATCAGAAAGACACACAATTGCTCGACCTCCATAATAGCAACCGGGTGGTTCATTTTGGTTGCTCACCAGTCAGGGCCCCTTGTGTCGAGAGGGAGATTCGTTTGGGGAGGCAGGTTTGGACCCCCTGTGATGATTGAGCCACCAAGCTGGCATGATCGAAGCCTCACATAGAAACCTATACCAGCGCCCTCCAAGAGGTCCTTTGGTGGCTTTTGGGGATTTAAAAGTGGCAGCCGGTGTCCTGTTGGAGGGTACTAGAAGCCATATGTGTCTTTTTGGAGGGCCACTGCTCACCTGTCCTGACGATTCCCATGTTCGGGACGGCCCTCCTTTCCGATGGTCGCTGGAACTCCCATGAGCGCTATAAGGACATGGGGGGCAGTGACAAAGAGCACTATGCCTTGCTGTTCAAAGTCCATGCGACGTGGGTCGCAGTGGAGCGGGAAAGTCTGAGCGGCGGTGAAGTCTTGACCCGACCCCGACCCTTGCTGGCCCCGAAGTGGACGATCCCCTTGCATCCCAAAGAGGATGTCATTCTTTGTTCCAGGGGCCATGCAGTGAACTTCCATGAGGGTTGTTGGGAGGGTAGAGGAGCCTCTATCCAATCATGCAAGTGGAAGGCATGCCTTTTCAAGGCACGCTCCTTTACAAACAGGTTTTGTTTCATGTCCCTCTTTCATGAGCCTTGGATGGAGGCCTGCTAGAGTCTAGAGAAATGGTGCCTGAACCAAGCAGTTTGCAGGTTTTTCCACTGGGAGTGTCATAAGAAAGATTTATCTTTATCCAGGTGTTGCTTAGGTTATTTGTTGTATATATATATATATATGTTGTTATATATTTTCTATTTTCCTATATAGGTCAATCTCCTGCTGTTTTGGGGTCATTAAACATCGATCTTTCCCAGTTCCTGGAGGAACCAAGCGCAAGTCCTGTGCTCTGAAAAAGTGGAACGGGCAGCAGAACTGCTTGGTGCTCAACTGCTACGTCTCCAAGTTTGTTTGATGGACAGACCAAGAGAGAGATGCTTTAAACCTGAAGTTCTAGCCTTTTGTCACCCATCGCCTGGAGGGTACCCATAACCTTCGACACCTGAGGTACCTCCCATACTTCTTGGGGTTTTGGTCAAGCTCGTAGGGAGATCCCACGGTCGAACGCCTCGACTCTGCTCAATGTGTGGACCTGTGGACCGACCCGCGAAGGTTTGGGATCGGGAGGAGCTCCATTGGGGATGTTTGATGTGGAACCCACATGTCATGGGAAGATTAAACCAACCAAACACATGTGAAAGAAGAGCATGGGGGGTACTACAGGATCGGACTGTGGAAACATTTGCATGATGAGCCCCCCCCAATGAACCACAAACGCTCGGGGAAAGCTAGATTTTACACAGAATCCGGCTCCACGGCCCAGGTCGTCGTGTTTTTCATATGTTATTCGCTGAACTCAAAACGATAGATGAGATCAGGTCCCCATGTGTGTATCCAGGTGCATCCAGAAGTCCTGAAGGAGATCGGGACGAAAAGTGGCAGTGTTGATCAAGACATGTGCCCAGCCAGCTGGTTTTCCCAGCCTGTTCGGCATTCGCTAGCCCTCACAACTAGGTGCTTTGAGTAACGGCAGTGGCAGTTCTAGATCTGGACATGTTGAATTACTTGTAGGGGAAGACCTATACAGACCCTATCGGATTTCATGCCGGACCCTGCGTCCGGACTACGCTGGTCAAGCGACCCACCAGTCAGGTTCACGTGGCCCGGGTCAGGCGACGTCATCTCTCAAGGATCAACCTGCGATAGTTTGATGAGCCACTCCCTTGATGAGCCACTCATGTCTTAAACTCCTCATGCTTCGTCCGCAATAGTCTTGCAATATACCCTCCCAACAATCTTGAAAGTGGAAAAGCTGTTTGTTTGTCGTATATATATATATAGACGCGTAGAGGAAAAGGATCATGGTTCCACTTGCATGTTTGTTGGATGGAGGGCAAACACTGATTGAGTGCATGGCTTAGCACGAGGGTGGCTCGAAAACCAGCTTCTCACTCCGAGCTGCTTTTCCTGTTTGATCCCGTTTTTCGCTTAGAAAGTCGTTGCATTTTTCCTGAGGCGCGCATTGCGGCGGCGCACAAGTCGGGGCAGATGGGATCGGAAGAGATGTTCCACGTCAATGCACTGAAACCGCGAAAACGTGCGCCATGGGTCTTCGTCGTGGGAAAGACATGCACCAATGGGAGGAAGTCGAAGACATGATTTTGCTATATATAGACACTTAATTAAACAGGAATAATCCTGTCCACCTATTAAAAGAACACGCGGCCCCCCCTAATAAGGAAACCTCGGTCGCATTTCTTTTTAAAGGAAACCTCGGTCGCATTCTTTTTTAAATAGGGGGTCCCTGAATTCGGGGTTGTCCAAAATAGGGTCACCTGGGAAGAGCTTCAAAACCAAAAAGACACGCAGGAAAGTTTTAGATTCTAAAGCTCGTATCAAAAATTCAATAGAAACCTCCAGATCGAAGGGTCTTCTTTTTCCCCTACAAACACCTTTATTGGTTGTTCTTGGAGCCTAATTATTTTTTAGAAAAAAAATACCCCAAAAATCGACAACATATGTTCATGGATTCTGATAGTTTGGTTTTGGAAACTGATAGTTTCATTTCTTGTTGTTATGAGCCTTGAACTACAGATCTGTAACCTGTCTTGTTGTTCCTGGACACCCTGGGTTGTTTCATGATGGTGTTTCTTGACCATTCCCTTCTTTAACCTTGGAGTTCCTCCATGTTGCAAAACACTGCAAGAAAAGTTTTGAGATGCTTACAGTCTTTCACTGCAATTGAACAAATAGTGAGCCACAGAGACATGGACTGTCAAGTAAACATGCAATGATTGTGTTTTTCAAATCTTTGCACTAAGTTTTGGGGGGCATGTTTGCACACATTTGGATCTCTCAGGTTCTATTTGTATATGTGTGACATTTAGATGGGTATCAACAGTATTGATCAATGGCTTTCTGACCATATGTTTGTATTTTAGTTATATCCATGGCATGGCTTCTCCATGCCATGGCTGTAATATAGGCATTGTAAATTGTAAACATTTACATAATCCTTTCATGACCTAAGATTTGATAAGTAAAGGGCAGTGCACTGCACATACCATGTGCCAGCTGTTTGCCTCATTCAGGAACCTGGAGCAGCTAAGGACCCAGCAACTAAGGCACCCACCCACCTTCACTCTCACTCACGCTCACACTCACACTCACTCACTCACCGCCACCGCCACCGTCACCACGATCCCCACCTTCATCACCACCATCACCTCTCTGGACCCAATGCGTCTAGATCTCTAGACTTTCTGCTTACAGACCTCACACACACTGTTTGGGGTCTCTTGCCGGGATAATTTTATAGTAAATATAATATCCATGGCTTGGTTGCTCATGCTGTGGCAATATATATATATATATAGTTTTTGTTTCATATCCATGGCATGGTTTCTCATGCTGTGGCAACATATATATACATATATTTCTATATATATTTAGTTGGTATGTTTCCATGGTTCTAGAATAGTATCTATGATATCCATGGCATGGTTTTTGATGCCATGGCTATGTATATGTATATATGTGCCTAGACTCTATGTTTCAACATGTTTCAATGTTTATACCCATGGTGTGGCTTCTCCATATCTAGTTGTTTTTAACCACTGGGTGACATGAGGTTTGACAAGTCAAGGATACTGCACTTCACATACCACATGTTTGTTGAACAGTGTTGGCTCCACTGCCAAGACACTGAAGCTGCAGCTGTGCTCACTGATTGACCTGTAGTTTTGAAGCATGTCCATGCGCACAGCAACAAGTTTTTCAAAAAAAAGCCTGGATGTTTGTGTTGCATGTATTGTGGATGGTCACATGTGAGAACTAAGCTCAGGAGCAACTTGGACCCGGACACTGCAGCTGTTCTCGCAAAGGCCACTGAGCAACCTGTAGTTTTGAAGCGTGCTCATACTCACAATGGAGCAGAATGATTTTCTTGTGCAAAGCAAACGCCTGGATTTTGTGTTGTATTTACTGCTGACACACAATCACATGTGAGATTTTCTTGAGAAGTGAATGACCACTTTCCTCTCTTTTTCACTTTGCCCTCATCTCCAAGGTTCTTTGACTTTTCTCTGTTCTCCACTCCCCTACAGTTGCAAACAGCGCACTGATCCCTGCTATCGCTGCCTGAGAAGTCGCTTGGGATTCAGTAATAGCTACATTCACTCGATGAGCTCGAGGAGCTCGATGAGCTTGAAGGCTTTGCACGTCCTGATGAGCTTGTCTCACGCCCCCGAGTGTATGTTTTCTTGCTGCTTACCCTTCGCCTTTGCTTTGGGTTTTGGTGCAACCCTGCTCTTGTGTGCTGCTTTCGTGAGGAGTGGCTGCTTAATGAGATTGATATCGGGATTCGATATCTGGTATACCAGAAGGCGTTGAAGTCTATACTTATGAAACCTAACACACACACAGAAGAGGTTCGAGATGGAAAAGTCAAAACAAAAATATTCAAAATATAGACAAACACAAAAAACAAACCTAGACTCAGCCCAAAACCAGAACTCAAGACCAAACACAAAAACACACTCAACTGGAGACTCAAGTAGCAGAAGGTTGAATAGAGGAAACCAAGCAAATCCGGACTCAGCAACAGAGAATTTGAGTCTGGATTTGAGTCTAATTGTGTTTTTTTGGAGTCCTGTCCTCAGTAGACCTGTTCTCCTGAGTGTGGATTTGTTTTTCCTATTTTTTATGTTTTGAGTTTTTGTTTTCTTAATGTGTTAAAAGGATTTTGGCTCTGTGTGTTCAGTTCAACTTCATAAGCCTATAGTGAGATGCTGAGGATAAAAGCGCAAGCGAAAGCTCCAGGAGCAATAGAAAGAGCCGCAAATTGCGAGCAAACAGGCTGGATGCTGCAGCTTTTGGCACACTAAATTGGCGGAAGTCGCCTTGATTGATCTTTGTATAGCATGGCAAAACTGCAAGGCGGCAGGCCCAGATAGGAGGCTTAACCCTCCTATAGCAGCGCGCATTCCGGTGGCTATCATGAAGAATCTCCGCTCGGCCCTTAGGGCCTCGGGAGCTTGTGAATGGGCTGTTTCGCCCATTATTTATTTACACTTCTTGGGTTGTTGCACCTGCCACGGACGCCACCGAACCATCCTGGAACGCCACCGACCTGGAACGCGGCCGAGGTTTTCTTTGGGGACCATCCGTAGGGCCGTAATGAAATGCCGTGAGGGCCCTTTGAAGAATTCTAATTAGTATTGAGTACTGTAATTAATATGCGCCAAGCCTCCACTAACAGGTGCTTTCATGTGTTTTCACTCCGGACAGTGATTTTTTGTGTGCGTGTGTTATTTTTTGGTGGTAAAGTAGCTTCAGAGCATAAATTGATCCGTTGATTCCCATTGAACAGTTCAAGGTCCCTGCGAGTGTGTACCCTATCAATCAAATCTAACATAATGAACTAACATCGGGGTTGTCCCATTGCCTGCAACAGTCGGAAACAACTATCAGGTCACCATTTAGAGAAAGGCCCTTACTAACCATCACCATCCACTGTTACAGCTGACCGGATATACCCAACACTATAACATTTTGTGTTTTCCTAAGCAAGACCCGCTTTGGCAACAAGCCTTTCTCCGAAAAGACTCAAAGGGGGAGGCTCAATGGCACTGCTCCGTGCGAAGCCGCGCAGAAGGGCCAGAACAAGCAGGCGCCTTTGGTCGTTACCGTGCGGGCAACACTAGCAACATTGCGGCCCATCTCCAGAAGAAACATGGCCTTGGCAAGAAGGATTTCGAAGAAGAAGACGGACTTGTCAGGGCTTGCAAATGGACGGAGGATGCTCTGGCAGGCGCTGCCCGCACGGTATATAAGCATGGCCTTAACATGGTTCATATATAAGCTCGGCCTTTCCCAGCACTCATGGTTCATCCTCCATCCGCAGTCTGGGGTTGCGATTCAAATCGCAACCTGTTTGAAACATCACGTGTGGTCACGTGAGGAGGGTATACGCGTGGCCTAAACATGGTATAAGCTCGGCCTTTCCCAACATGCATGGTTCGTCACCCGCAGTACCTGGGAGCTTTTTGTTTCTTTTTTGTTCAACCCTCTGTTTCTTCAACCCGCTGTTTCGGGCAGGTCTTTGGCAGCCAGTAGGGCCCTTTCAAAAGCAAAATCATGGTCTGGCAGGCGCTGCCCGCACCGTGGCAGAGGGTTTTGCGATCGACGGCGTGCCTCCGTACTGGACCGAGCGATGTGGGCTGAAGTATATGTTTGGCAAGTTGCTGGGGGTCAAGCTTCCGCTTGCCGTGCCATACCACCATCTCCAAGCATTGGGATGTCTTGGGGCAAAAGCGCAGGGAGCAGGTCCGTGCCGAGATCAATCAAGGATATGCCTCGAAGTCGCTTACGACTGACGTGTCGCAGGGTCCAGATCCTTGGCTGCCGGAGGGCTTCACCAAACTTTTGACGGGAATGATGGGCGGGGAGAGGGCTGCAATCACTGGAGTCACCAAAGCGCGCAGCCGAATGCCGTTTTTATACTTCGTTTAGCCAGTGGTTTGTAAGCTTCTTTGTTCATTGCCGCCCTTTCACTGTTTTCCACGATTTCAGCCCTCGTCCAAAAGTCGGCTGCAGGATGGGCTGCGCTACCAGGCGATCCTGGTCCACTACTTGCACCAGTGGTCAAGAAGGATTGTAGTCCTGTATGTAAGCGAGCTGGGCCAGCCGAAGACCTCCGTCAATCAGGCACAGAGGATCCTGAGTGTTCTCAAGGACCGCATGACCGCACGCTCCAATTTTCAACGTGTTTGGATTCGTTCAAAAAAGAAGGCTGCGGGGGTCAGGGTCAGAACATTTTGAAATGCTGTTCATTCATTCATTGATTCATTGTCATGTAGCTGCTTCTACGTATGAACCAAGAAGCCATTGGACTTTGGACGAGTTTTCAAGACGCACACTTGCAGGATTGGGGGATGGACACGAAGGACATCTTCTGTGTGGGGACTGATTGCACAGGCAGTGCGAAAAACATCTCCCAAGATCTTTCCCTGCCGTGTGTCCAGCGCATATTGTGGCCTTGCTCCCTCGAAGTGCCCTGGCCAGGCTCAAGTTCATGAACCTTTTTGGGGTTGGGCGTGGGTCGGGACCGTTTATCACAAGCGGGTGAGTTCTAAAAATCCTCCTGTTCTTCAGAGCCGCTTTTGGAAGACATAGGGTGGACCGCTGATCTGATCAGTATAGTTACTAAGTTACCGTGTACGGTACCTTTCTCAAAGCTGGCCTTCCCTCCCACGCTCGGCTTGAGGCAGCTCTTCTACGTCACCCGGCAGGAGCAAGGTGTGAAGAAGGACGTGGTGCGCGAAGATGCTTTGCCTAATGTGGTTGCCCACATGGAGCAGGTGCGTGCCCGTGCAAAGGCCTTTCGGTACAATGAGTCAAGCGACTCCAGCTCAACGAGGTGCAAGCGGGAGCGCCCCAGAGAGTGCTGATTGATTCCAGTGCAAAGTGGAACTCTTCAATCGCCATGCTGGAGCGTGATTTCACTTTGAAAGACGCTTACCTCGAGCTCTTCGGGAAGAAGCCATTGTCTGAGCTCAATGGCACGGACGCTCACTACGTGATCTCCAGAAACTTGGCCGGCGTGCTGAGGCCCTTTGAGCTGGCCAGTGGGATGCTGCAAGCCGATAGCGCCTCTGTGGCAACAACGTTGCCTGACCCTGGCAGCCCTCCGTGAGCAGTCTGATCAGCCATGTGTTTGGGTGGCAGCAAGGCGGACAGAAAGCTCTGATCTGCAACGGCTCCAGGAAGATGATCTGGACCCTCTGAGCAAGAGCCTCCTGTCGCGGCTCCAAGAGGTTGTGAAGACAGAGTTGAAGCACATCTTGTCATTTAAAGAAATTCTCCTTCGTGCCTCATTCCTGGACCCCCGCTTCCGCTACATGAGGTTCTGCAAGCGGGATGAGAAGGAGGAGGCCTTGACTTCTGTGCTAGAGGAGGCCTGCAAAGTGACGATTGGTAAGTTCAAGTTGAAGGGCGGTGATGAAGAGGGTGAGCCTGCTGAGGGGCCGAACCCCCTGGCCATCTTCCAAGCGTCTGTGTTCGGAGTGGCCACAAATCCAAGTGAGCCAGAAGATAGAGCGGCCCTGAAGAAAGCAGTGAAGTGGGAGCTGCACACTTATGCTTCGGAGACGCAAGTGGGCGCCACTGAGTGCCCACTAATGTGGTGAAAGTTGAACTGAGCTTGCTTTCAGTACCTAGCCCGTGTCGCTGAACGCTACCTGGCAATACCTGCATCAACCGCTTCCTGCGAGCACCTGTTAGCAGGCGGTTGACAGTTTGGTTTATCACCCCATATCCAGGTCCATGTTGATCTGGCATATCCCAAACATGTAATGCTGGAGCGGTGTGAGGTCAGCCCATGCGCACACTGGAGCTTTGGGAAGGAAACATTCGGAAGAAGTATGGCTCGGTAGCCAATGCCCGCTTTCCGGCGTATGAGGACTGAACGAATGTTCGTGGATTTGGGTGTCCACGCTAGCAGCTTAATGCCATTGATTGCACTTCCACTCACAGTGCTTTCAAGATTTGTCCAGGTCACAGTGCTTCTCGTTGCCATGGAAATGATGTCAAGCAACAATTTTAATGGTAGAACAGGAACACCATTGTGCAAACCTACAGTTTCCGCAAGCCCTTTTTCGCCTCTATCCCATATATGTAATTACCACAGCTCTTTGGGTCACAGTTCAGGTCTCAAAAACTACTTTACTTCGAGTGATCCCCACCATGACATTTCAATCATTTGTCTTGATGCCATAGTGAGGAGCATGTTGCCATGGTCGTGAGTATTGTAGTTCTCGATTTTGCTTGTGGGTCCTCGGGTTGTGTGTTGTGGTTGTGTGTTGTGTTGTGGTTGTGTTTGTGGTTGTGTTTGTGGTTGGGGGATATCTAACAACCCTCACCTGACACAGCAAAAAAAAACGCTCCTGGCATCCTCCACCTGTCCCTATAGGGCTCCAAGTAACTCAAAAGGTATTGGGCCCTCTAAACTGACCTCAAACACCTTAGAAGGTACGACTGGAGCCCTAGGGTGTGGTTTTCTTCATCGGTTTAACACACTTCCCAGTCCGAATTTCAGTGGCCCGTGACGCACCAAACCACACCACCCGAGGCTGCGCGCGCACGTGAACTACCCGCCTCCGGCGGAGTATTTGCTGCCGGACGACACGGCCGTGACGGGACAGCTTGTTCAGCAGCTGGCCGCGAACCTGCGAGGTGGGGACCAGCAGAGGTGGGTCAGAACCCGAACCAGACTATCCTATAGGTTTCCCGGGTCCTATGTACGGTCACTCAACCTCAGCAGGGATATGAGTCTTTGAGTCGAAGAGAAGAAGGACAGTCCGGACCGGTCGGATCGGACGCCAAGGATGGTGGATCGGAAAATCAGGAACCTCATGACCTCAGCCTCATCGCATTTGGCATCGTATTTTCGCTTCATCCTTCATCTGAAGTTTCATGAGCCGTGATTTGGTGGTTCATTGACGATGAACAATCATTTGTGTGGACTGTGTGGACTCTCTCACTACAGTTGGCCCCTGGAAGACTATCCACAACTGCATCATTGCGCATGTTCCTCACGAAACGCGCATATGTGCAAAAACAACACCAGTGAAGATCTGCAAAAACCTCAGAATGTTCGCCATTGACAAGCATGTTTGACCTCCCTTGCTCTTCCGACGCGATGGTCTTGATGGCCCATGGTAGGTGGACTGAAGTTCATTACGCAGACCGCGCACGTCCTCTTCCCCTCCTACGTGGCCCGTCACGGACGTCGCGCGCCCATCGTGTTGCGCGGGGCACTGACCGGTGTGACCAGGAAAATGGATGGACTTGGCCTCAATAGGACTATCATAAGCTCTGTTTAAAAGTCGCTCCCTACGGTTTGTATCGTCTAGAGTCTAGAGAAGTTGTCGTGGTCATAGAGTGCAATAGCACTTGATTTCAGATAGGCAAGCGATGGTGAAAGTAATAATATAGATCAGGATTCAGGATATAACTATTAATGTAATATGATTATGATACGATATATATATATATATTTATTTATTTATATTAGGATGATTTAGGATGTCATGACAATTGGTATTCACAGTTGACCGGAGATCGCTGAGGGGATCACTTGTGATTCTTGGTTTTGTTAGAAGTTGCTTCCAAAACCACATCTGCAAAACCGAGCCTGCATGGTCTGTTTGTTGCCTTTGGGCCACCAGCCACCCTTGAGTAAGTACGTATCCGTACGGAGTAACGTCCTGAGGTGAAGAGCGAGGAGTTCCAAGAGAAGCTGTGGCGGACCTTGATGACCTTGAACGCCTACAGCCGGGACTGATCACCGACGATCACCGGTCGGTGAGAGTCGATGTGAGTGAACCAAACGGCCGGGTTTTCGGAGTGGGTGTCGGGTTGTGATGGGCGCTTTTTGCGGCTGTTTTGTTCCCCACCTGTCAGGTGAGGGTTGTTAGAATTTACGTCAGCCCCATCTCCTCCTCCGCCTCCTTCTCCTTCTCCTCCTCCTCGTCCTCCTCCGCCAGACCTCAACCACGACCATCCACGCCCAGTGTTCCCTGCTGGACCTCAACCACGCCCATCCACGCCCAGTGTTCCCTGCCGGACCTCAACTGCGACCATCCACACCCAGTGTTCCCTGCCGGACCTCAACCACGACCATCCACGCCCAGTGTTCCCTGCCGGACCTCAACCACGACCATCCGCACCCAGTGTTCCCTGCCGGACCTCAACCACAGCACACAACCACAACCACAATCACAAAAACATAACCGCAAACACAACCACAAGCACACAACCACAAACAACCACAAACACACAACCACAAACACACAACCACAAGCACACAACCACAAACACAC